CTGACAGGTGCAGGACATTGGCTCCTATGGTTCCTCAGCTAAACAATGACCCTGAAGAGACCAATAAATAAATAAAGAGACCTGCTCAGCTGTCTGTTTCCATAACTGAAACCATATGGCCACAGAGATAACTAGGGATTTTGCACTGCAGCATAAAGCGACATTTGACTATACTGACAGCATGATAGACTGTTGCACTCGTCTGAAGAAAAAAACACAAGCAGAAGATTACTAAACTTTTCCAGAGCTAACTCCAAACATTTTTCAATGCCTTTTACTGCTCAAGGTCAAACAGTACAGGCACAAAAGGCCTCCTCCTGCATCATAACATTTCTGTGACTCTGTGAAATCATTGTAAGGTCTCAACAAATTGCTAAGTTTTCACAAATTTACTATGTCACTTTTTTCACAAAACCGCACATTTGTAGGTGAGTAGTTACATAGCAGCATTCTTGGCTATCTCAAAGCTCTGCTTAACATCAATTTGTGGACTGGCACAAAAACAGAAATTGCTGAAAAATCTCAGGTCTGGCAGCATCTGTGGAGAGAAAGCAGAGTTAACATTTTGGACCCAGTAACCTCCTTCAGAACTGTTCTTCTACAAACCCTTCCCCCAACTATTTAGTTTCAAGCCCTCTCTGTTATACTGGTCCCAGTGAGGTTCAAGTGGAAGTACAGCTGCCTCTCTCCAGAACTCGTGGCAGTGCCCTTTAATCAAAATCAGTCTCTCTTACATCAATCTTCTGGGTCATGCAGTCAACTCGATCACATTTTCTACTTCATCAGGCATAATCCAGAGATTAGCAATTATCCCTAGATGAATATACTCCCTCAGCAGAAGCTCTTTCTTAGTCTGTCTCATTTATTGGTACACACATTGACCACGAGAACTGTGTCTTTTCCCATCCTACATGAAATGTCCTTCATTGCAGGCGGCAAATAAGCATCACCTTTGGGACTCAAGCTCTCGTCTACAGAGGACCATGTCTCTTGCCTAATGTTGTGTCTCACTGGAATAACGCACTAGAAATCAAGTCCGATTATTCTCAGAACTATCACAAAAGTTAAGATTTTTAAAACTAGACAGAATTCCACAAATTTACCTGCCTTTTAAACCCAGGTTGATGAAACCATGGACTATATTTCCATACTTAAAATTATTTATTACAAATAAACAGATTCTAACTGCAGATAGACAATTATGAATCAACATATAACTTTGCTAGTTAGAACTCTAACCCACTTATAACCCCACACCTCCTCAACAGACATACAAAAAACCTGTATTGAGTGGAGGGAAAGCCTTGGAAGGCAGATCAGTGGACCCTGTCCACAGGATTTGCTGCTCAGAGCACTGCTTCTCCAACTTACTTCTTCCTTGTTTACTGGTAGCATCAGGTTACTAGTTGACTACACCTTTATAAAAGTCACACCTTACAGCAACTGATAAGGGAAAATAACTGACTACCTTCAGGCCTGAGATGCTTTTTAACTGCATCGTAGAACAGCTTGTTCCCTTCAGAGGTTCAACAGTTTCTGCTCTGAACATGCATATCCCTAAGCTATTCAGCTGCCTGGAAGACAAATCACAGGTACCTCCTGCTGGTAGACAGGAAGCCACTTTTATCAATAACTAGTCATCATTTCACAGACCAATCAACTACTAATTGCCAGCCAAATCTCCCAACTCCATCACGTCTGCAACTACGTTTATCCCACTACTTTAACAGCTGTGTAAACAGCACTTACAATAAGTGTCAGGTAACTACCTTCTAAAGAGTACACTAATTTAACAATCTTTGGCTTTTAAAAGTTTTTTTCTCCCCCCCCCATTAAAAATACAACAATAAGATACAATCTTAACATCACTTACATCTGTTGCTTTTTTTTTTATAAAAAAACTACCTAACTTGAATGGCTCCCTGCACTACGATGTCATGATCAGTTTGCTCCTCGTAGTCCTGCTCCCAACCACCGAAGTTGCAAGAACCTCAAACCTGTTGGACAACATAAAAGCTAAACCTTCTCCAACGTTGGCTCATCTGAGTCACACGCTCCAATCTTTGACCACAAACCAAATCTGAAGTACCTTGCTGAAACAGTGTGACTACCTCCTGGAACTAGTGTTCAGATCACTCTTCCTCTTTCCTAATGCATCACAATGTCCAAAGCTTGGACTCCAGCTCTAACTCAGAGCTAAAGCTTCTCAAGTTGCAGAGATTCACTGCAAATGTGGTTCCTCTGGTTGACACTGCTATCCACCAGCGCTGTCTGTGTTTAGTTAAGTTTCACATTGAGTGAGATTTCTAAACTGTTGTCAGTAATTGTACCATGTAATTTAGTTACTTTCATGCAATACTTACCTATCCAATATGGGTTTAAACCAATGCTAACATTTAGAAGGATATAATCTTACACACAGTTCCACACAGCAATCATCTACCAGTTTGTGTAATTATAATCTGAAACAACCACCAATATCTGGAGGCTGAATAAAATAAAAAACAGCACCGTCTTCCCCCACAGCAGATTTTCCAACTCGGTACTCATACCTTGTCATGCCCTGTGCTTTCACAAAATCAATGATGTCATCAAATAGATGAACTAAACAGGACAGCAACAGCACTTCAAAAATCACAGAATCCTACCCATTTTATATAATATGACTAAAACAATGTCAGGTGAACATTATGCCTAGAAGCGTAGAACATTGCACATTCAAGAGTAAGAGATGTAACACTTCATAAGGGGTGCTGAGACAGCATTTTGATGAACTGAAAGAGACCGAAGTATCTTAGCAGTCTCCATAGCAAACATACCAGTAAGTGTTGAAGTGCATAACTGAACAATTCAGTACAAATCACAAGGGTGGTAGTCTGCTAATAACTTTCAGAAGAAACTGGAAAAACACACCACCTTCAATACGGAGGTAGAAAACCTAGAAATATTTAAGGAACGACTGGATGCTTCAGTAGGCTCATTTTAGGGATTTTCTGGAAGGAGGAACCAAGTGGATTCAATTGCCTTTGTCATACAGAAGTAATCTTGTGAACGGAGATACTTTGGACAGAACTTTTACCTTTGAGAATAATCAAGTTCAGTTCACTTAAAATATTCAAATAAAAGCAACACCAAATGCCATCAGTAATAAGACTTACTTATTGAGTTCAACACTGATTTTCACTTGTGATGAGGTATTGGTCCACCACACTTGCCGAGTACTGTCATTCTCTCATCAGTGGCACTGGCCCTCCACAAAGGCCTCCAGAACTAAAATTAATAAAAACAAAGCTGAGGTCATCCAGGCTAGATAGCCTTTTATTTGAGAGACAAACATACAGAGGAGAGATTTGTTTTGCAATTTTAATTATTTTATTTGAATGATTTCAGTTAATAATCTACAAAGGAAGTAACAAATTTCAGCGCAAAGCGCAATCTTACATATAGCTCAACACCCTTATTTAGTGCAAACATACAATTCATGTTGCAAATGATCCCCATGTTTCTTTACAGTGTATTATGTTGAATAATGAAAGGAGATCTCCAGGACAAGACACTGAATTTAAGAGCAATAGAAAATTCAGTCATTTCAAGATGGCAATTTGCAGGGCAGGGTGGTGGTTGGGGGGATATCAAGAGTATTACATAAAATAATTTAAACACTAGTCAGTAGCATTTATAACATTTGTACATTTTTTAAACTGCTTTCGACAGGAGGGAAATGGCAAATGGATCCAGCTTTTTGCACGATATTAAAAAGCCTGAAATAAGAGAAGAATTGTGCATACACGCAAAAAGCATCAGGTCTCAATTTATGTTGAATGTTGTTAATTCTCGACTACAAATAATGCAGAATATATCAACTGCATAAGATTATGCATTCAACAGATAAGAACAGCATACACATACTTAAGTAACTGTCAGCCTGTTCTTAAACAGGAATCAAAACAAACATTAATTCAACTAACATCATATCTCCAACAAGATCCCAACACTAATTACTGCATATCATTCAGTCTCCACTTACATTTTGGAGAAGGGAAGGAAAAGCATGGAGAAATAAGAGGAAACTGAGCACTGAGAAACTGAAGTATTCTTGAGCTTTCTCCTCAAGCCCATGCAAATAGCATGAATTTCACAGAACATCTAGAGTTTAAGGTTAGGTAGCCCAACTAATATCTAACAAGCTACTTGCTACTGAAGTAAAATGCAATGCTTTGTGTGGACTTTTCACAGTTTATTGCAGACTAAGAAGTAATACTGATTGCAGTACTTGCTTTTTCTTTTTCCTCAAGTTTTCCTTTATTTTAAAGTAAGGAATCCACAACAGATATTGTGAAGCACAAGGTAGAAGATATAGTTAAAGAAACGGTCCCCGTACCAGTTCAGATTTTAATAAAAAGCAAGACAGAAAGAAAAATAAAAGCTTTTCATTATCATGCCTATCTGCCTAAAAATAAAACCCCCAGTAGGTCACACAGAAAATACTATTACACATTCAACCATCAATAATATTACACAATAATTCTTTAAGTTTTGCTTTTTAAACAAAGCCTCGTGAACGACAGAAGTGTGTTCTTCATAACAAGTAATTTGTACAAGGGAACCCTTCTTTCAATGCATGTTTTGCTTAAAGGTTTGCGCATCTCAAACAAGAATTTTTTTTAGAATAATATGTTACAGTATGACTACTTCTACAACTTCAACGTCTAAGCTTCCCAAGTCAATTCAATATTGTTTAAGGCTCACATATTAGCAACAGTCTACAAAAGATGCTTCAGTAGACATTTTGAAGTTCCTTAAATTGTTGCAACAGTTACAGCAGAACTGACCATTTTTTCATATTGAAACAATTTGTTTGAAAAATGGTGCAATTTTCTTCAATTTTAAACAAAATAAAGTGCTGACCTGCATAATGCAACGATATATGCAGGGTTTAAACAGTTCTTTGATAAAGTCAGAACTGATTTTTTAAAAAAAACAACCTTCACATCCAGATGTTAAGTTACATTTGTCCTTTTATTCTCTACATCAGAAAAAAACTGCAAAAACATTCCCTCAGCCAGCTCTTTACCAGTTACTTTTCTGCAAATACCTGGTGAAACAAAGAAAACTTGTGTAGTTTGGAGGGGAATGTGAAACAAGGAAAGGGAAGTATTGTTCTGGGGGGTGGGGGGTAGAAAGAGGAGGTAAGAAGGCACAGACTCAAATTTAAGTACAGGTAATTATTCTTCCAGGAAACAATTTACCACAAAGATTATTATAAATTCAGCATTCTTTTTCATTAAGTGGAAACTAAAGAAAAATGCAAATCTTATGTCAAAACATTCTTAAGATTTGTATTTATTTCAACTCATGTATTTGTTCTAAATATGGTTATTATGCAACATAAAATATGGATAGTGAAGTTGAGAGTTTAAGTTCACTTATGAATCTGACTGACATTCTAGGTAAAGCCTGTGTAGAATGTAAGAGGCCTTTGTGTATCTTGTAAAGTTTGTTCCATAATTTTTCATTTTCCCATATATTCAGCTTAAGAATTGCCTGTGTTGATTCACAACTTATGTCAATAGTGACCACCTCCAACTACAAAGTAAATCAGAGCATTAGTGATGGTTAAAAATAAGCAAATGATGGTTGACACACTGCAACTGTCAATTACATTCAAAAATATTAACGGTAGATGAATTACAGAACCTAAATTTTGTTCACAAATTCAGTATTGGACAAAGAAAAGTAAAATAGTTTGGCCTTAAAGGGCATGAATGCTGCATTCAATCTGCACCAGCAATCTTTATAGTGATAACAATTCTTAACTAACGTTTTAGACTTTGTCACTTCAACATCAAACTTAACCACACAAGTGGCTAAACACTTAAAAACTTAACAATTCCAATGCATTTCTGGAAGTAACAGCATTTGCTGAATATTGTGGAAAATACAGACCCTGAATTTGCAGGAGCAAATTTTAACCATTAATATTATGGCCTTTGATGACTCCATGTTTTGATTAATTGAATAATACTGGAGAGGGAAAGACAAAAGACTGGAACTGATTTACGGAATGGATGCATTTCAGTCACCGTGAATGACATCAGTTCTGTTGAAGAACAAGCATGAACTATCTACTTTACCACAACTCCACCTTTCACTTGCTCTCTTCCTCTTTATTTTTTTCTGTTGGGGACACTAAGTGCTTTCCTGCAGACAAGTCAGAAGCACAATACAAGGCACTATGAATCCAGCAAGCATACTGGGAAAACAGGTATTCAAGTACATTTATACAATTTTACATTCACATTTATTTACCTAATACAATAAAGTAACAAAGAAATTAAAGTGTCTCTGATAAGTATGGATTATAGCTAGCTTTAGTTTTTTTTGTTTTTTTAAACTTTAAACCCTCTAAATCCACTTTTAACTACTGTTGTCCAACAACATTTATATATCACAGTGTTTGAACATCAAAAACTGATGGGTAAATATATGTCCACACAGAACGCTGTTTGAAACAGAACTAGTAAAATAGCTCTCAAATGATGCTGTGTATATAAAAGCAGTGTCAAGTCATTTGTACGTTTTGAAACTCCATGACCTATCCCCAGCAACATCAGCAGAGGCCATTAAACCTTGAATTCCACTCAGTCTATTGATCACACCTATCCAGAATTAGAATTATACATCTATGTTGTCCTAAGATTGGATCCAGAAGGATTGCTGACAGATTTCTGCAAAGTTCCCAAGGGAAAACTCTGTAGTGAAGTGGAGCCAACTGCTTGAAACTGGAGACCTGGTGTTGGTGATATAATGCTTGGTTGCTGTTGAGGTGGTGCTCCAGTCCACTGGGCACCATAAGGCGTTCCAGGATAACCATACTGGCAGATAGGAGTCTTGCTGAAAGGGCCCAAGGAGCCAACTGAGGCAGCAGAGTTTGTCATGGAGACACAAAGCTGACCTGGTGCCGAATACTTCCTTGGCATCGTCTGTAAAATTTTATGAGAGACCTGTTACTATATGGTAACAGAATTATGATATCGCTGCAATAACAAAAGCATCCTTAAGTTGGCTCTCTTTTAACCCCAAAGAATAATTCTGAAAAATGATACAATTAACAGTTCAAAAGGACAAAATTTCTTCATTGTGAAGCAAACACTTTTTCCTGAATTATGAGCATTGAATGAGGTCTCCGTAACCTGACAAGTTCATATCTCTTATGTTGATAAGCATCCCTCTAATTATCCAGTTAGAAACAATTCCTAACACAAAGTCAAAATTATTAAAGACTAAAATAGCACTATTTGCATCCTAGCCAACAATCCTACCTCAAACTATGTAATTAAAAACAGATCAATTGGTCATGCATTTCAATACTGTTTATAGGATCCTGCTGAACTCAAACTGGGGCCACATTTGATACATAATTGTTATAGCCTGTGAAAAAAGATAACTCAAATTGCTTAATTAAATTTCTGAAATGTGATAGAGCATTGTACAGTCTGTGCCTCATTTCAGGATAGATATTTCAGACAGATACGGTGTTGAAATTACTTCAATGATGCCACTTAAACAGTTAGCGGAAGGCACAAAGCATACTGGAACCGAAAACACATCTGAAGACGCCACAAAAGATGAGATGTAATTTCTCCCAGCAGAGTGTCCTGACTAACAGTAAAATATTCAATATTTGACCAGACTGGACCATTTAAATGCTTTTTAAAAAAAAACGGTGACCAAGACACAGACTTTACTTACTTCAGAGTAATGCTGGCCTTGTTGACCTTGTTGCTTCATGCCACGCTTGTTCTGAGAGAGATTCATAGCATCTCGAGCCCAATTGTCCACTAGCTTATGCAAATCATCCGTGAAGGTGCCTTTTCTACTCGTTATTGCTGGCTGTTGTGGCTGAGCCATCGACCCAACTCCACTTACTGCATTTGTACTGGTTGTTCCTAGAAAAATGGAAAAGCAAATCAAGCTGTTGACTAAACATTTATACAAGAAAAGCTTTGAAGCTCACGATTTTAATGATATTTGGATCCAACTTCTTTTTATAATGACTTATTTATATGCTTGCAATAAACAGCAAAAGTTTGCAGCAAACGAAAAGGAAAATCCTTAATTTCAGCTAAGAGTAACACAACTTCATGTTGAATTTAATGGTCTTGGGAAATCTCTACACACTGAAGCAGTTATATAAATTGCTGTTGGATTACATCAGAGAGATGTGTCAATTTTCAATAAATATCTTTTAAAAGATCATTCATCAATGGATCAACAACAAATGTAGAATGATAGCCCTGAACACTGCACACACATCCGGCACAAATTATATTCGTAACATGCACCTCACTTCTGCATGCATCAAAAATTGTGCAAGACTGTTATGGGAAATATTTACTATACACACACACACACACACACACACACAAATGAAAGCAAATGAGTTTCATCCATTTAATAAAAGCTCCATGCAGTATTCAGTTGCTGTTTTACAGATTTCAAAAATGTGTTAAAGCCACATTGCATTTATATATGCATTGCATCTAGACAACATCACAAGAAAAACTGCTATACGTATCCACATTGACATTATTCTTAGCAGCTGTTAGAACGTGCAAAAATCAAAGCCATCTTTACAACTCATTTTAGCATTATAGGTTCTTCAGCCTCTGATAGTTGCTCAGTTCAACAGAGAAGCGGTAGCCCCACAGGAAAGGAAATTTCAAACTTTTGATCCAAATTCATGGGATATGCTACTGATTATGACTGAGAGGTTCACAGTCTAATTAATTTACTCTGCTGCATGAAGTCAACTGGTTTGGTTCTCTGCACTGTTTTTGATGGTATTTAATAAGTTTGAGTCTCCAGGTGACGCACTGTTGGCAATCAATGCATTTGTTGTGACCAAAGATTGCTTGACTTGTGATCAGAAAATATTTCTGGAACCAAAAAGTACAAAGCATCACTTTCTAAAGTAACAGCCTCTGAATATGCAGTCCAAAATCTGGACCCAGGCTCTATCAAGCATTTACACCACCTTTTTCTAGGAGACAAACTTTGCAGATCTGCACTGGGTTTATAAAATCATGAGGGGTAGAGATAAGGTGAACATCAGGTGTCTTTTCCCTATGGTGGGGGATTTCAAGACTATGGGACATATTTTTAAAAGCAAGAGTAGAAAGATTTAAAAAAGACATGAGGGGCTTTTTTTTAAAAAAAAGCAGTGGTTCATGTGTGGAATGAACTTCCAGAGGAAGTGGTGGATATGGGTACAGTTACAGCGTTTAAGAGACATTTGACTAAGTACATGATGAAAAAGAAATATTTAGAGGGATATAGGCCAAGCACAGACAGGTGGGACTAGCATAGTTTGGGATTATGGTTGGCATGGACTGGTTGGACCGAAGAGTCCATTTCCGTACTGTATGATTCTATATAAAATTAATAAATCAATAATAAGCCATTCACCCTATATAGTGTCTGTTTGTGTTCCACATGAGCCTTCTCCCACACTACTGCATCTACCACCATCAGCGTAACTTTTCCTTTCTCACTTACGTATTTTTTTCTTTAAAATTGAGCACATTTTATTATAAATGAGGCACAGAATACTCGTCAGTCAAGCCTTGGAAAAGAAACTTTGAAAAATTCAAACTTTTCATTCCACTACTTTCTGCTCTACACGAACAATTGGTTCATTCCAGTTTTACTGTAGTCTGCCTGTGCTGTGATAACACAAAGCATGCGTCCAGATCATGGACATGACTTTAGATCAACTGTACAAAAGAATAAAATTTCCATCTAACTACTGGTCTTCCTAACCTTTAAAAGATGCTGTAGAAACCTCAAAAACCAAAAGTCAGAGAAGCCTAAATGCTAAAATCAGATGCAAGGATAATGCTATATTAAGTGTTACATGCTATGCAAGTAAAAGGTTAGAAAAGGATAATTACTACACAGTTGGTTGCATGGGCAGACTTTTTTCACCATCTTCCCTAAAGAATAAAGAAAAGTGCTTGGAGAAGAGAAACATACAGAATGGAAGAAAGTACATTAATATCAATTCAACTGATTAGTGTGACCTCATACTGGTCTGCATTGCAGTATAACAAAAAAAGAAGAAAGAAGAAGTAAATTGTTATCCTTCAGCACCCAAGTTCCAAATTCACTAACTGGGTACTTGATCACCATTCACCAATTTCAGTAAAAAAACAAGGATACTTGTTTTGTCAGAGTGTATTCAAAAACGTAATTTAGTCATTTGATCTGTAACTAGCTAATATTTACAAAGTTGGAGCGATAGAAAGCCAAAAGCATTTTTAAAAAGTGTTTTGAAAGCCAAATTTTGCCTCCCTCTGGTTTTTCCAAAATACACTTTAAGGTATAAGTACACGTCTTTACTATTTCTATTTTAAGTGTCTAAACTTCCTCTGGAATGCAACTGCTCTGCAGCACCATTACGTGATTAGGTCACATAAATCTTTATGGACAGGATTTATTTTCCCTCTCCATCACCACTTAAATGTTGTAATAGACCAAAGTGAACAACAAATGTGGGGCGGGGATGTCAGGAAAGAACTTATTTGGAAGACTGAAATATTTATTAAAAGTACAATCTCATTTCAATCCGCAGAGAAGAGACTGGAACTTCTTCCTATGCTGCATATTTTCTAGTCCTGGGATTATAATCATGCACAGGATCTGAACAATGTACGCAAGTCACTTTAAATAACTGACTATATTTGCTGAAAATAACATTTCATTGCCATTTAAAAGCAATCTTAAGTTTGAATTTCAACTCCTCCGCTTTCACTGATGCAGTGAAACAAACAACTTTGGCTCTTAACAGCTCTTGGCCCAGATGTTTGGATGAGAAGCCATCACAAAGAGGCAAAAAATAAGACTCCTCTATTATAATCAAGGCCATTAAATATACACATAGTTTCAATTAAGAGTGTATGAGAAAGCCAGACAGCCTGCAAGTGAGAATGTGTGAACCCTCAGCAGATTCAGGAAGAATATTTGACTGAGAAAGATGCATAGTATTAGTGGATCACTACTAAAATTTCCCCATGAAAGAAGCAGGAAAGCAGAACAATATTAGATCTTTCACCTGCTTGCTCAACTTAATTTTTTTTAAAGCTACTGACCCTTTTTTTACAACCATTTTGTTGTCTATTGTTGAGACCATTATTTTTCTTTAATTTTTCTCATTTTTGGATTGGAACAGAGTTGTGGTTGAGAATTTAACTCAACTTTCAACAGCAGCTTGTTTTAAAAAAGAGGAAAGACTGACATTTGATGGTGGAAATTTGCATTATCCTTCCAAGCCAGTTAAGTACTTCTCTACAAAATCTATAGATGAACCAATCCTTAGATGTTACGTTCAGGGACGGGCAGCTGGTTGGATGCTGAATCGGTTAATCAAGGGAGGACTAGTACTGGCCAGCCAACCATGGAGAATGTTGAAAAAAAGAGAGAGAAATCAAAGAGTGAACTGACTTTGACTGGGTTTTTGGGCAGGTGGAGGATCGATGCTCTGGAAGCTGCAGGACTAGATTGTTTGGTTTTGCTCTCTCTAGCTAATCTCCAGTTATTGACTTGTTCTAAATCCTGAATAAAGAACTCCAGTCAAAAAGAAATCAGGAAAAGTCTCTGGAGATCTGTGGAAGCTATCTGCATTGACCAGTAACTTCAAAATTCAAAT